AAACATTGTGTCTCGATGCCTCGCTTGGTAGCCTCATCGATATGTAGACTTCTCGCGCGCGCACAGCTGTAGTGACGATGACGGTGAACCTAGTGTGCCTTGTTTTTACCGGCCTCATGTGATAGTTTTCACCCTGTTTTCTGTTAATTAATAAGGTAACCTTTTCTTTGTTACTACTAGTGAATCTGAAATTATTCGGGGCAGACATAAAATATATCACTTCAACCCAATTATCGCAGCAACTATTTTAAAAGAAACTAGCTAGCTGCCCGTGCGTTGCACGGAACATTAAGATGCATTTGTATGAGTATTTTATCTTGTGAGAGAAAAGGCTGAACAAGGGATGGCCTTATTTGTGAATGTGGAGAGGCGTGTGGGTATATTTTTGCAAATTGTCATAGTTTCTTTCCTATCCGTTAGATATAAATCCGATGGCCTATATTGCAGGATGGCACGCACACCATCATCACCAACACTGTTTTCTACTCCCTCCGTTCCTAAATACTCCCTCCGTCCGAAAATACTTGTCATCAAAATGGATAAAAAGAGATGTATCTAAAACTAAAATACGTCTAGATACATTTCCTTTTATCCATTTTGATGACAAGTATTTCCGGACGGACGGAGTGTTTGTCTTTTTAGAGATTTCAACAAGTGACTATGACCGGACCTTACCAACATACTCAAAAAAGTAGTCCATAATTTTGATGTTACCTTTTTTTCTTGGTGGTGCAGTGTCATCTGGATACCTCATAAATAAATCAAGGAGAAATCTGACCCCTTCCTAGAAAGACATACGGAGCAAAATGAGTGAATCTACGCTCTAAAATATGTCTACATACATATCCGTATGTGTTAGTCCATTTGAAATATGAAAAAGACAAATATTAGGAACGAATGGAGTATAAGAGTAGACGTGGAGATATATCTCCAGCATGGTCTACAACAAAAATGCGCTGGACTAGTTAGCGCCGGATGCTCGTAACGCGATGACATGAGTTCGAATTCTGTCTTTTAACTTTATATTTCTATATTATATATTACTTATTTAATATATACTTCTTTAGCTACTGTACTGACAGTGGAACCCACAGAGTACTTAGAATACAAGATTAAGGATGGACTTGTTTCTTTTTAACTTTCTGTACGAAGTTGTAGCCACACTACAAGTCACGTGTACGCTGTACATGCAATTAACTTTTTATAAAGGGACAATCATACATGCAATTAACTCAAATGAATTGGATGTCACTCTATTATTTCTAGCATAAGAGCATCTCCAACGGCAGCCGGCAAATTTCCTCCCGCTTCCTTTCGCGGAGGATGACATCAACCGCCAGCGGCATACATTTTCACAACTCTAACCAACCAGATGAAATTCGTGCAAACACGGACTGATTTCATATAAGCATGAAGGATTGGTGAATAAAAAATGTTCATTAATTCAAAACTGTTCATGCATTTCAAAAAATGTTCGTAAACAAAAATAATGTTTGTGATTATTTTGAGAAAATCCTAATTAAAGAAAAACGTTTTTCGGTTCGAAAAACTGTTCACGATTCCAAAGTCTTTTGTGTCTAGGATTTGATTAGTTTTTCGAAAGTCTTTGTATGTCTAGGCGTTGGGAGTAGTTAGTGGTTGATGAGATTTGTTTTTGAAGTTTTATACATTCCCTTGCGCAACATAATGACAAGTGTGACGTGCAGTGGCAAGCTCATTTGCTTGGGATTTACCACGTCGAATGCATTGTGATCACGTTGATATCGCGACCATCCTCAGCGAGGGCAGGAAGAAAAATAAGTGGCAACATGGTTAGCCACCATGTTAAAATAAACAACGCTCATATATCAGGGTATTGAGTCGGTACTTATTTGACTTGTACATAATTTTTTTGTCTCCCGTTACAACGCATGGATATATTTGCTAGTATTAACTAACTCATATAAAAAACGCTAGTAAGCAAGATAAACTTAACAATGAGAGTCCGACAAGGTATCAATTCTTTGCCCAATAATGAAGCATCCATGTTGTTCTCATGGACGCATATTTATATCCAGCAATTCACCTCGAATCCATTCAGTGGATTAGTTGTGCCCAATATATACTTAGTTACATATATTCTTTCAAGTAAGAAAAATAAGACGGCATATATATATGCTCCACTAGCTTAGCCGTAGCTAGCTCCATCAACCCCTCTATATATACACCTTGATCGTCTCTCTTGCTTAGTCCATCCAGCAACCACCCATTTGGCTGCTTTACTGAGCTATATATCTAGCTAGGTTCACCATGTCGGGAGTTTGGGAACTCAAGGACGGCAAGGTGCGGTTGCTGGACAAGCAGTCGGAGCCGCGGCGGAAGGCGCCGGCGGGAGAGCAGCTGTCGTCCACGGCGGGGCCGCGGAGGATGCTGGTGCACGAGTCGAGCGGGCAGCCGGTGTCGTCGTTAGAGGAGCTGGAGGCGCTGCTGGCGGACCTGGGGTGGGAGCGTGACGAGGACGACGGCACGGCGCTGCTGAAGTTTTACAAGCCGGGCAGCCAGCCGGACCCTCTCACCCTCTCGCTCCCCAGGGACTTGGCCGACTTCACCTCGGTCCACATGCGCGACGTCGTCGTCAAGAACAGGGGCTCCTTCCACGTCGTGGAACGCTAGCCTAGCTTGTTCTTGGACGGCCGGCGATCCCATGGCCATGTCCGGTGGTGTAATAAAGAGCATATATATGTTTGGTGGTGCTCAATTTGTCTGTACACGTTTGTGTTTCGTTGGTGCAGCGTGTTAACGACGTTACAAGGTTCTTCATTGTACGCATGTTACGTGACCTAATTATGCATCTATGTTTATGTGGACGGTCCAGTGCTCATGAATAAATTGTTGTTTATATAAAGGGTTTTTTTATTTTCTTGCCCTCAGTTTCTTAGTTCTACTCAGTTTGGCCTGACTTTCGTAGCGTTCCTCACCTTTTCTCTCCTCCCTCCACCCCAGCCTTACAAATGCCCAAACGGGGCATTTCGTCGAGTCAAGGCCCATTGACCGTTACTTGCATGTGTTCCTTACGAGTAGGACCGCAAAAAAATGTTGACGTGTGGGGCATGGTCATTTCATCCAGAGTCAACTCAATTGCTGAATGTGCCAAGTCAAACCATACAGCATGGCCCACATGTCATCTGCTCAGGCTATTAGGGGGGTTAATTAACCCGAACCGAAGCATTAACACAGAGAAGGGGCCCACATGTCCGTGACTACGGGTGGATAGTGTTGGGAAACGTTGCATGGAAAACAAAAATTTTGTACGCACGTGCAAGATCTATCCATGGAGATGCATAGCTACGAGAGGGGGAGAACATCCACACCTTCGCGATCCGCTCCGATAAAGTATCGAACGTTCAGCACCTCCGCTTCAGCACACGTTCAGCTCGATGATGTCCTCGTCACCTCGATCCAGCGAGCGGGGCGAAGTAGTAGATGAGTTCCGGCGGCATGACGGCGTGGTGACAGTGGTGGTGAAGAACAATCTCCGCAGGGCTTCGCCAAGCACAACGAAAACTAGAAGGAGGATAAACCAGAGGGAGCAGGGTTGCCAGCACATGATTTGATGAATCTTGATGTGTTTCGGGTGCTAGCCCTGCCCCTTTATTTATATGTTGAGCCCTGGGGTCGTATCTTAGAGAAAAAGCCTCTTTAAAATCGGTTTGGCACACAGGGAAGGAGTCCTTTTCAGACTCGAGGACCAGACGCCAAGGTCCTCGACGTCTGGCCCAGACGCCAGGGTCCTGAACTCCGTAAAATTTTCTTTTACACCTTCCTTAAGCCCCGTGAGCGAACATTGGCCACGTCAGAGTCCGCTCTGGAGGGCACGAACAGGGCATCGAAGGTATTGGACGGCAGCTCGTGCACTCCCGCATACACGGCATTCTTGAGATCTCCTTGACCTCCAAGACGTTGTCTTCACCCACTTAATTATACTATTCGAAATAGCACTAACCCCTCATCACTACCGGCCCTTTGACCAAGCGTCAGTGATGATCCTTGAACGATGCATTTTAGCATCTATAGTCAGACCTCATGTGTCCCCCCTAAACGTCCGGGAAGTCTATCTG